AGTAGACGGCTTGAAATTCGGCCCATTAATGCTAAAGAAATAAAAAAAATAAGACATTCCTCCATCCACGCTGTTAGTGTTAATAGGGGATTAGTGGGCAGAACAGTCAAAATCTGAGCGGTCTCTGCCCAGCTTTAGTCATCTGCTGAGTGGTTGGTCAATCTAAAGAAGATTGTAGTAACATGTATTTGTAAGACCCCATTCATACTGAGCGATTTGTAGTGCGATTGCAGCTCAAAAATCGCTCAAACATCAGCTCAATGTAGCTCGTCCAATGCATTTCAATGGAGCTGTTCACATCTCACAGCTCAATGTCGCCTGTAGCCTGTAGCTCAAGCTTGTCGCTTGAACATGACCTATTTTTCGGTGGATTTCATGCCGCACGAATTTGCGCGATGTCGCACTACAGAAGTGTCACTTTTGCTAAGAAATATAAGCAGGAATATAAGCAGGAAACCGGAAGACTATCCAACTTTTAATTGGATACAGACCAATGTAACAGCTACGAAGTCCATGCCAAATGTAGCGCTATGTAGTGCAACAAAATGTGCACTGTGGCTGAATGTAGCTCAATGTCTCTCAAAGTCACTCAGCTTAAACCGGCGCTTTTTCTGATGTAGCTCAGTGTGAATGGGGTATAACATGTATGGCTAGCTTCAGGGGGATAGACATGATCATGTACTGGTAAAAATGGTTCTCATATCATCAGCCACCAAAGGGAGAGATTCTCAAATGTGTTTTAAAGCCTTATTTGCCTGTGATGTCAGATGCTCCCTCCTCAATAAAGCCACTTCCATAAAAGACTATCAACTGCCACATGGACATGTAAAAAGGAGCAGCACCCGCCGCTCACATCACACGGGAGTGATTAGCTTTGAAAGTGCTGCATACAACTTGCCAAGAGTTTAATCGTTCCCATGTGATTGAAGGAAGAACCCCCATTAACTTCCTCATATCAGCATTTGGCATGGAGCACTTTAGCTCTTTTCTAACAGTAATGTGCTTGCCATCAACCCTAAATTGTGAATCTTAACATCTAAGTTTTATTTGGAAGTGGATCTTTCAATTCTAGATTGTGACAGAGGACATTTTTGAGTGCTGAACCATCTGAAAAGTTCAACAGAAATACGACAGAGAAGCATAAATGGCATATTACTGGCTCAGTGATGTCACACTAGTCCACGGTAATCTACAGCACATGTGACGGCAGCGAACATATGTCAGCATTAGGAAGTCACATTGCTATTTTGTATACAAATATACCTTTTGTTTGAAACCCCTAAAGAAAAGACGCTCCCTCATGGATGTCATGAGACCGCATGGTCTCCAAATACCAGGAGCATTGCAGGTATTTCCAGTGTTGCAATGAGCCTACTGTTTTCAAGACAGACCTTATCTGGTACCGTGCAGTGAGATAGGAAACATAGCCTGTTAAAACCCTTGCCATAAATTGCCCAATTCCATCCTGGTCCAAAAGCCTGACGCAATACTTGGTCACAAACTGGGTCATTTAAGGGTACTCTATGGAGGCAAAAACAACATTGGAATCTGTGGTTATCACTCAGCAATTTTCTAACTTGCCACCTGTCCAATCTCATTTAGAAGAGGGGGGAAGGTAATAACCCCACATGTGCCACTTCAGTCCATTGACAAGCTCCATGATTTTCCCTTCCAAGTCCCACTAGAGGTGACGGCAGATGTTTCCTGGTCTGTTGTTCCCATAGAGCCGGGGTGCCCACAATTTTTGTATTAAGATCTACTTTTCAAATGACAAGCTACACGAGATCTACCAACGGAAAAAAAAACCTCTCGCTCTCTCTCCTCGCTCTCCTGGCTGTCTCTCCTCGCTCATCCTCCTGGCTGTCTCCCCTCTCTCCTAGCTGTCATTCCTCGTTTTCTCTCCTGGCTGTCTGTCTTTCCTTGCTCTCTCCACTAGCTGTCTCTCCTCTTTCCTGGCTGTCTCTCCTTGCTCTTTCTCCCTTGGCTGTCTCTCCATGCTCTCTCCTGGCTCACCTTGCTGTATTTTGCAAACAGTGTAGTGAAACAGGCTGTGTAAACTAATATTCTTTGATGTAATACATAGCACTTCAACCACCAGTATCCACCAGAAAGGTGTTGGGGAGCTTAGCTCAGCCGACTCAGGCTGATCGGTAATCATGTGTGCACAGCTACATAAATATACCAAAATGGTAGAGGCCACCAGTCACACCCTTTGTGATCTACCAGCATCAGCTTTAAGAGCTACTAGTAGATCACGATCTACCTAATGGGCAACCCTGCCATAGAGTAACCTGCTTTTCTATGGATAACTTAATGTGTATGGCAAACCAAAACCTTTTTTTTTTTAACGTTTTGGATAAAATAGGGAAGGGTTAGAAGTTAGAACCCCTGCTGAGTTTTTACTGCTTTCCAGGGTTCTGTTACACGTTGACCATGTTTTACTAGACAGGAAGTGAGAGAAGCTCTTCAAAAGTAATGCAGGCAAAAAAAAATGCTTTCTTCAGTAGGAAAGGGGAAGAGTAGAATTCCTGTCAGGTTTCCACTGTCTGGGTCTCCCTTTGTGTCCTGCTGAAAACTTTTTACCAGACAGGAAGTGAGGGGAACTCTCCAACAGCAACACAGCACATAATAAACATGCTTTTCTTCAGTTGTGTATGAGGAAGCCTAGAACTACTGTCAGAAATAATATTATGTCCTTGTCCCTCTTACAGATTTTGCCTCACTTTCTGTTTGGCTAGACCAGTTAGTAGTAGAAACCAGACAGGGGTGCTAATCCTTTCCCACTATATCTTACAATAATCTATTTCATTTATTTGGTCACCCTCCGCCGACATAAGACAAACAAGCACCCTAGGTATACATTGCCTCTTCCCCCTCTAAATTTGAATAATCAAAGAACTCAAGGAAAATGGGGTTTCATTTGAGGCATCAATGCCACTGCATATCTGTAGTTATAACATCATTTATTCCATAGAAAGGATAAAATGCATAGATATCGGTGTAATAGTCACCACATATGTATATATGCAGTCATTACAAACACAGAGGAAACTTACCTATGTTGCTAGTTGCCTGTTCACAACCTACAGTCCTTACTCAAAGGTATATATACATAAACCTGATTGGTAAATACATTCGTCCTAGTGACATATACTTGTCGTGCATATAGTTTACAAGGTAGTATAATCTCCCAGGGCTTGTGGTTGTGGAATACTCCTCCCAACGCGTTTCACTTAAACAAGCTTCCTCAGGGGATTTACAGATGGCAACAAAAAAAGAAAACAATAAGCATCTGTTGCCAAAACGAGAGCCAGCATCAACTGAGAGCTGAAGTTGCACGAGAGCCAGCTAGATGGAAAAGTCCTCAGCCAAGGGTAGGTATAACAGTCTCACGCGGGACCATAGAGGGGTAGATATCCAGGGATCAGACGCAGCTCCCAAATGATCCGTCATATGTCAACCTCAGGTGCTGTTCGTTCCTATCTCCTACATCTGCTGCAAAATCTCCCGGGGACAGCAATATATCTCACAATACATTTTTGTCTTGGCAAGCACAGAAAACATGTCTGTTCCATGTACATACATGACTACAAACTAATTTATATATATACACTGAGTGGCCAGATTATTATGACCACCCCATCAGTACTTCGTTGGGCCACGTGATGACTCCACGAGATGACTTAGTACACACACACAAACACACACTTTTTATGGCAATATGTTAAGAAATGTACAAAGACGACGGGTCCTCTTTAGAGATATAACTATGAGCAGTAAAATGCGGCTACCTGTGTAGCTTGGCCATGAGCCTGGAACATGCAACAAACTAGAGAAGTGGCCATACCTGTTCTACGGTGGGTCACAAGCAGTATGTTCAGCGGTCAGTGTTGTATAACAAGTAATTCTTGCTATTAGCAACATCATTTTGTGATATACACACACCAGTTACTGGATAAGCAGAGACTACCTAGAGGATGCGGTTCCAGTTTAAACACACTGCGAAAGGTTCAGTGGTTTCCAGGAAAACATAACTTTTACTCCACAAGCCATACACGTGCACAGAAGACGAGCATAGTAGCTCAGGTGTCCTACAGCCCATAAGCTGCTCGATAGAAGCAAGCCTGCCCTTTATTTTCAGTATTGCTTATAATTATTGGACTGTTTTCCTTCTAATGACTTGCTGCGGGTAAAGATACTTATTATCACAGAAGGAGAATTCCTAACTTATTGGAAATCTCAGCAGGTCCCAATTCCCTCGCTCTTCCAGATAGAAGAGTGAAGGATCAGGATTACTATGTGTGCACCACTGTCTCTTCATTAATCACGTATCTCAGCAGATCCCGGCATTGTTCAGGGGAAGAGCAAGTATCTGCCTCTCTATGGCAAGCTTTTATTTGCCCATAGACGACAGATGAGAATCTTTTTTTTCAGCCAGATCAGCAACGATCTATTGTCTATAGCAGCTTTCTCAACCAGGGTTCTTCTTGAGGTGGCTATGGGTTCCTCAGGATCTCCCACCTACAATGACCACCAATGTAAGAGGGTAATTTGCCACTAACCACCAACATAAGGGGTTACTTATTTTATTTAAAACTGTACAATTTACTGATCATGCTAATGTACCATGAGCTGTAGGTGTAATCATTTTACACAGGGTTTCCCCAAGACCTTACAATTATTTCAAGGGTTCATCAGCAGTAAGAAGGTGAAGTAAGGCTGGTCTATTTGGTACCTGCAGACACCACCAGATGTGGATTCTTAAGGGAGGGGTGCAGCGTTCACATGGCTATAAAACCTCTTCTGATCCCTATTCCCCAATACGCTGACACTGGAGGTGTCCGCAGTGCGCCTCCCCCACTCCTCTGCAAAGGTTGAGGCGACTGTTCATGTTTAGGGACCTGGTGACAGCACAGACGCCTGGGGGAGATTGAATCTCATCTCTCATCCTCTACTATATACTGGCTATAATTTAACAGTCATAATGTTTCAACACTTACCCTGCCCTCATAAAGGTGCTCAATACGTTCATCTATCCACTTCTCCACGTCCAGCCTCTTCTGTAACTCCTTGCGGTCATATTTGACCGTGACTCGGGCTTGCCTCCTCTGTATGGCTTGTCCTGAGTCTCTGTTCCTGGATGGGGAGTGGGTTTTATTAATCAGTCGCTTCCCAACCTTATTAGCTGCCATTCTTGAAAGTCCTGTTCTGGCTGTCGAGGGCTGCTGGTCCTTCCTGCTCAGAGCAACAAAACCATACAATGAACAAAAATCACAATTGCTCGATCCGAGCCAGAAATAACAGTTTCAAGTGTTGACTTTTATGTATAAATAAAGTTTTAGCTTGACATAAAAAGTCAACCTATGCTTTTCTTCATGTATAGTGATATTCTAGCAATTACTGGTGATATTATTTAGCTGGATAGCATGGATCTCCCCAGTTTTAGTGATGGGTCTTGCAATCCAGTCACTGGTTAAATCCTAAATCCGTTAACAGATGTGCAATCAGACCTCGCAGTGCTGTCTCCACGTGTGCAGGGAATCCTGAGTGTTTCAATGGTCCTATTGTGCTGGATGGAGAGATGGTCCTCTGCTGTGCTCAGTGTTGGGTTGCAGTATTCCTGGGGTGCTCTGGATTAGCCTTTCTCTCTCACATGCTGGATTTGGAGCTGTTGCGTCTGTAGCGTTGTACACCTCAGCCCAGCAGCTCTCAGACTGACACTGCATAGCCCTGCACAATGTCTCTGAGCCGGAGGGGAGGGGCACTTGTAAAATCATGTATTGTGCAGCAAATGCTCCTATTTGTGCCTAGATACCAGGACACAAACCTCCCTTCTCTTTGTACACAGACAGCATATAGACCTCTCATCTACACGAATGACACACAGAGCCAACCTCTTTTGTATATATAGATCATTCCATACACTTGCATGCATTGCTTGTACAAACATTCATTTATTTCATACATGAATATGTATACATTGTTATATAATTTTTATTATATACATTTATTTACATTTATAATTTATATACATTTATTTACATCGATTTAGTTTTAATATGTGGAGAGACTGGCTTTTTTTTGGGGGGGGGGACACATTTACTGGCAAAATCCAATCTGGGTAACAAATTCTGCCCCCCAAAATATACAATTGTTCCTCGAAACAACCATAACTGGCTGGATCTTTTGCCTGTAAGCACCATTAGATTGAAGCATGATCCAATCATTGAACCTTTACTTTTTTACACCAGTTCTGCAAAAAACGCATGTTCATGCCTTTCGAAGGTGGAGACTCACACAGCAGAGAGGAGCAGTAGTACAGCAGAGACATACTGGGGACCACCCAGAACTGCAATGATCATTGTATGAATCATTCAACAATCTGCCAGACTCGACAACAAACATTTTATGTTTACAAGCAAATAAAACCCTGACTGCGTTTGAGATTTGATCATAAGAGAAATCCTCGTACAGCAAAGTTTAGTACATATGACCATTTTTTAGCCAAACATATTGGTATTATTACCAAGAAGCACATACTTGTTTGACTATTAGGGTATACTAATTAAAAGCAGATAGAGATGTGCTGGATAGAGAAATGGTCCTCTGCTGTGCTCTCAGTGTTTGGCCGCTGTATCATTGGGGTGCTTTAATTACGTCCTAATGGGCGTATTTAAAGCATGACTCTGGACACAAAAGCGTTCATTTAAATATATTCCTTAATAGCTCAATGCTGAACGGGCAGTGTGTGCATACCGGCCCGTTCCGCAGTCTTGCGAGGGTTGTAAAGTGTATGGCCACCCTAAAGGTGCCTATACACCTTGCGATTATCGTACGATAATCGCGGGAAATCCCCCGCTCGTACGATAATCGCAAGGTGTATGGAAGGCTTGCGACCGTTTTTACTGTACGGTCGCATGTCTTTTGTCGAACCAGCATGCTAGAAAACCCGCCGAGAATCGTACGATTGTGAGGGTTGTAAAGTACAAAGTCTTGGACAGGCAGACCGTACTTGTGATCATCGCAAGCCCTTGCGATGACTGCAATGAGGGGCGGGCTTCCGATGACTGCAAATGGGCCGTGTGCGCTTGCGCACGCCAGCCCGTTCGGCAGTTATCAAACAAGCAGGCCACTAACTTGCCGAGAATCGTACGATTCCCGGCGGGTTTTCCAGCCTACTTGTTCGACGGAAGACATGCGAACGTACAGTAGAAACGGTCGCACGCCTTCCATACACTGCACGATTCTCGTAAGATCGCGGGATCTCCCGCGATTCTCGTACGAGAATTGTGCAGTGTAAGGGCACCTATAGACTCTAACCCTGCTCCTTGAGGAGCCAGTTCACACCACAAACGCGTTTAGGGGCAGGAGGGGGCGTGACGGTGCATTGCAGTCAATGACTGTGCATCCATGCCCCCCGATCGCACGCACGTGTGGCACATCAGTGCCTGCGTTTTCAGTCCAGTGCGATCTGCAGCATTTTTGCTGATCACACTGGACCTGAACGTAGGCACTAATGTGCCACACGTTTGGGTGCAGGCAAAGGCACTGCAGGAGGGGGGCGTGGTTGCAGAGCCATTGACTTCACTGCGCCGCCCTGCCCCCTCCCGCCCCTGAATGCAGGGAGCCGGCCAGGTTGTGATACAGTGCGTTACAGAGGCTGACCACACTGTTCATGGTGTGAACCGGCCCTTAAGCCACAGGTTCACAGCCAATTTTCGGCGCAATTCCTATTTTCATCGCGCCGCACTTGTTGCATGTCTTCTCCATCCCAAGGTGTCCCTCTTTCTCAAGTTCAAATGTTGGGACTTAAAGGAGAACTATGGGGTCAGGGTTTTTCCCCCATAGTTCTCCTTAGGGTAACGGGAGGACACAAACTAGCATCCTCCCATCACCCTAGGCTCAGTATACCGCGAGCTACAGCTCGCGGTATACTGAGATACCGCAGCCGGAGCGGATCCCGACATCGATGTCGAGATCCGCCCAGCTGCGTGAGTGACAGCTGGCTCTGCCTATTTAGAGGCAGAGCCAGCTGTACCCGCCCCCTCCCCCATCCGTTCCGCCAGTCAGCGCTGGCGGATCGGAGCGGGGAGGTGGGAATCCAGCCCCTCCCCTGTCACGGCAGACAGCCGTGACAGGATCGAGAGGTGAGCGAACGCCGGTCCTCCCGATCTACTGAGCCGACCTGTGACAGTCTCATTGTCACAGGTCGGCTAGAACTATGAGGTGAGTGAAAAGCACTCACCTCATAGTTCTCCTTTAAGCAATTGTAGGAGATCAATCACTCAATTGCCTTACTGAAAATCTCTTATGTAGCAGCTCACATTAAAAATAATGTAATACAAACAAAGTGATCAGTCTCGTGACATTTTAGGAGTGTGAGCTACAAAAAAATTGTCCACATAGCCTTTGATTCAACATAAGAGAAAAACAACTCTGCCAGGAAGTACATGGAAAGGTTTTACATAACATACATAACATAACACTGGATAGAGCAAAGCGGTGAGATTCCGGATTCAGGATACAATCAAGAACAAACAGGAATCCAACTACTTGTCATTCTCAATGGGATGCCTCCCGTTTTTATGTCCAGCCTTTGTAATGGTGCAAAATTCCCCCACACTGGACTTTTATCACAGCAAAGCATTCCTAGAAGTAATAAAAAGCAACAATGGCAGCCACACTAATCTGTTTAAAACTAGGAAAAGAAAAAAGGTGCAAATGGGCAGGACAATATAGAAAACAGTATAAAGACATCCCCTCCCCACTTTCAAGATTACCAGCAGGAAACCAGTAAAACTGTTAAAGGTCGCGGTGAGGCCCAGCTGTACAGTGAGATACAGCATTGCCTTCTTATAATAGAAGGTACTTACACATCCTCACTTCCAGCACAAACATGTTAGGGATGCACCGATACTGAGTATTTGGGCGAGTAGTCGTACTTGTCCAGTGCTCCGATACTTACCTCCGATACGGGAACTTCTGGTCAGAGGGAAGTTCTGGTATCGGAGGAAAGTGAAGCTGGTGTTCTTTTGATAGAACACTGGTTTCCCAGGCAACCAGGAAGCCGGGCGACGGGTCATGATTCACCGCCCGACTTCCTGATAATCAGGGCACACAGCACCTGTATCGGTATTCGGTGTCGTCGAGTACCGGAAAAAAAATATTGGTTCTTGTACTCGATACCGAACAAAGGGCATGGGTGCATCCCTGGTATATGTCCTCACTTCCAGCACAAAACCCAACAAAACAAGGCATCTCTGTTTTTAAGTAAATGGGTGGAGTCATACAACTCATTCCTTCTTGGCCATTTTAGCCATCTGTGTGTTTGAGAATGTAATACTACTTTAGTGGTCTTCCTAATGCAACATACTGCAGCAGATCACCATAGTGTGAAAGGCTAAAGGGAATCACAGGCATGAGATGATCCTTGCCGCAGCCGTATCCCTCAAATTACAGTCAGACTGGTAGTCAGCCTTCATGTCTATAGGAACCAGGACGCAGCAGCAAATACTGACAACGGCCTGGGGAAATACAACTAACTCAGTTGGATTATTTAATTGTACAGCTATTGTTTTTTCCAAGGATTAAGCAAAATCGTTTCCTGGCTGCTCTCCACCTTTTTTGTCTCAAGGCATAAACATGCAATCAAAAAAGGTTTCTTTGGCAGTCAGATCATGTCTGATTGCCTACATTCTATGTAAGAATACTGGCAGCTGAAACTTTCTGATCACTGCTAACCTTAAAAGGTAGCTGATATTAATAACCTGAGTGCATAGCAAAGTTATATATATGTTAAGAAGATACATTTTTGTACGGGGTGGGAACTTTGAGATGCATTGTTTTATTAGCAGGTCTGCAGGACCTTTAAGACTGGATGTTATTATTCTTTTTGGTCTATACTCCAAATATGGCCCGGCCACTGTCCTTGGCTTTACTGAGTTTCATGTACTAAAGTTTTTATACGTTTGTCCTACAAATGTAACTGTTCAAATGCAGTGCAAATAAATATAAACAAACAATCATGGGCAGTACTCGATTGTTGTGTTGGAAGTGCACTAATAGAGCTACAATAATTAGAAATACATCATTCTACATTTAATTATCTAGTCTCCAGCCTATTCTTAGCACGGACTCCATCTGCTGTCTGTCGCTGAAACCAGGTAACTTATTCTGATGTAGATATTGCAATGCTTCACTTCTCCTACTAATAAAATCTCCAACACACATCCCAAGATGTAAATAAAAATTTCTGCTGACTACGCACATACTGTATACTCAGTGTACAGTGAAAGCTGTTAAATAAATTGCTTTGCGTTGCCATCTTGTGGCCATGTAACAATGCAACATACTCTGCTTGTAATGATGTACAGATTGAGAGACTCCTAGTGCTCAATTTTGTCACATGTGGTAGAAAACCTGTTCAGTTCAGTGCCTGGAATTTGGCGTCTGCGGCCTAAACAGTCGTCTTTGGGTGCTCTGTCTGAGCTCTCCTTTTGCTTACCTTCTCTGCTGCCCTTCTCTACAACAGCCCTTGCTTGATCCCTGCAGTTGATGTCACTTCCATGAAAAACCA